TTTAGAATTTCCTTTAATGAAGTTCATAAACTCCCTTGGTTTTTGTTTCTCTGACAATCTCTTTATTTTAACCTTTTTCTTGAAAGATAGTTCTGGGGTAAACAATTATTTTCTTTCAGCACTTTAAAAATGTTATTTTGTAGTGTTCTGGCTTCTACTGTCTTCTGTCTTTCATTATTGTTAAATTATCCATCAAAGTAATGGTTGTCCTTTGATCAGCAATCTTAAAGAAATATCAGGCTGTTTTAAAATTTCCCGTTCTTTCTAGTTTTCTGCAGTTTCTTTCTTTGTTTGTTTGTTTATTTCTTTCTTTGTAACTTTAAGGTACATCCTTTTTTCATTTTTTTCTTTTCTGTTTTTCAATTACACTTGACATTCAATATTATTTTATATTAGATTCAGGCATACAGCATAGTGGTTAGACATTTATATAATTTGTCTAGTACCCACCTGGCACCATACATTGTTATTACAATATTATTGGCTATATTTCCTATGCTGTACTTTACATCCCCTTGACTATTTTGTAACTTCCAATCTGTACTTCTTAATCCTTTCACAGTTTTCTGCAGTTTCAATATGATGTGTCCAGGTGTATTTCTTTTTATTTATCCTGCTTGGGACTTGCTAGGATCTTGAATCTAAACATTCGTGTATTCTATAATCTTTTGAAAATTCTTAGCAAATTATCATTTTGAAGTTTTTATCTTTTTCATTTTCTCTTATCTCTTTATGAATGGCTAATTAGAAATTTGTGAGACCTCATTCTAACCTCAATGTCTCTTAACTTCTCTTTCATATTTCCTATTTCTTTGTCTTTCTGTGCTGCATTCTGAATAATTTCTTCAGTTTCTAGTTCACTAATTCTTATGTCACTTGTGTTTAATATACCATTTCACCTGTCAATTAGATTTTTAGTTATTCTAATATAGATTTCAGTTATTCTAATTTCCACTATAAGAAGTTCTGTTTGATTCTTTCTCAAATCTACTTGGTCTTTTTTTTTATTTTTTATATTTGCCTTTTCTTTCACTTATTCTTTTTTTTTAACTTATTTAAATGTATTAAATATACTTATTTTATAGCCTGTGTGATAATCCTAATATCTATCATCATTGCTGGTCTGATTTTGTTGTCTGTTGTTTCTCTTGGCTCCCCCCTCCTGGTGTCTCCCTCATGTGTGTTGTGATATTTTGATTTAAACTTATTTTTGATTGAACTTTATCTGTGAGAAGTCATTAGGGTCTGAGTTGAAGGCTGTTTGCTTCTGCCACATAATTGGTAGCACTACCTCCTAGGACCACTTTAGAATAGATGATCAAGTTGTGGTTTTTCACACCACACTGAATGATAATTCTAAGGACAGCCAATGACTATTACTTCTTTGGATTCCTTCTTTCTCTTTATTCTGAACTCTAAAGATTTCTCCTTTTCTCTATCAGCTCATTAATGTGTATAAAATATTTTAAAATTTGTTATTTGGAATTTTAAATTGTTTTTCAAAGGGAGGATTGTTCAAGGCGTTTAGTCTGTCCCACACTCAGAAATAGAATGGTAAAGAAACTTTCTACTATTGGCTGGAATGTGAAACTATGTGAGAAAAGTTTCTGGTGTGACTAATATAACAAAGATTCTTTGTATATTTATTTTTTCTTTTCTTTTTTTAGGGTACTCGTGGAATCCCAGGGTCATCTGGAGAAAAAGGAAATCGGGGAAATCGGGTAAAGTTTGAGGATATCCTTTTCTCATATTTCTTTTGGTTATACTGACCTTGATAGTTTATTTTTAAGCTTTGGGAAAAAGTCATCTAGTGGCTTAAGTACTAGATTGAGAGTTAAAGGGCAATAAATATTAGAAGACTATTTGGAAACTTTAACTTAAGGCCTGACTCTGTTGATAATGAAATGAATAATGTAAACCAAGTTTCTTGAGTTTTTGTAATTCTCAGTCATTATCTCACAAGCTTTTATGTCTCCATTGCCAATGATTTAGCCTTACGTTCAAGTTCTTTTAACCACATCCTTCACTAATCTCAGCCAAGAAATGTCTTTCCCAGGATTAAGGAACACAAATTGGCAGTTATAAAATAGTCATGGGGATGTAAAGTACAGTATAGGGAATATAGTCAATATTGTAATAACTATGTATAGTGCCAGGTGGGTACTAGACTTATCAGGGTGATCACATCATAAAGTATATAAATGTCTAATCACTATGTTGTACACCTGAAATGAATACGATATTGTATGTCAACTATAATTGAAAAATAAGAAGTGTCCTTCCCAGTCAGATTGTACTACTCATTGTCCCCTGAAGATTCCTTATGCACGCTCACCACTGTGTCTTGGCTTATGCTAGGCAGTCCATCCTAGAATGCCTTTTCCCTGCCTCCATCTTCAGTGCTTATTTGAGTATCGCTTTTTCTTCAATTTCCAGCTTCTCTCTTTCCTCCTCATGATGCCCTCATTGACCATGTCAATTTGTAGTGATTTCCTCCTCCTCTACATCCTTCCAATGTACATTATTTGTACTATATGCTTGACAGTGACTATACACTGCCTCATGCTGGTAATTACGTCTCTATGTAAGCAAAGGCATATGCACTCAACTGTTCCTTCCTGTGCCAATGATAGACATTACTAACCAACTTAGAATACAGCCTGAAGGATCCATCTCAACACAGTACAATAATCAGCTTCTGTTGATTGATTAGATTAGATAAGGGGGATGAAATTTATTTACTTATTATTATTATTTGTACTCCTCATGGAATTAGAGTAATAACCTCCAGGTGTGGACTGATTTCCTGATAAATGAAACAGGAAATCATATGAAATGGCTCTTTATGGAGGTTTAATTTTTAATTTGCAGTTTGTGGATCAGATTTTGGAGAAGGTAGAAGGCACCACCCTTCCTTCAAGAATGAAGAGCATTCAGTTTCTATTGAATTTAGTTAAATTCAGTAAACACCTGTCAAGTGTTTCCTACCTGTAAGGCATTTTGCTAGACACAAAGAAGAGTTCAAAGATAAATAAGTCATGGTTATGACCAACAAAGAGCTTATTAACTGGTGAAAGGGATAAGATTTTTATAGGAAGAAGTATAATACAAGATATCATGAGAGAAAGGCTGTAAGAATGGTGCAAAAAAAGACTGGGTGGGAGCACAGTGACTTGGAGAGGAATCTAAAACAAAGTGGTGTTTCTTCATGAGCTCCATCATCAAAATTTTGAGCATCTATTGTCATTCAGGTATGACTGCAGAATGGGGAGCAAAACAGGCATGGGTTCTGTTTATCAGAACTGGTCTCTATGAGGAGAGACAGCTATTAATGACATAATCATGGAAATAGACATACAATTACTGCTGAGTCAGTGCATGAAAGAGAGGTAAATGACAGGGAAATCTGATCTAGACTGTGCAGTCAGAAAGGTTTCATCCCAGGAGTGAAGATGGGATGAAACTTAAAGGATGAATGACAACCAGATGGTGAAGGAGGAGCGAAGGGGGCAAGGACTAACTTTCCATGCTAAGGTCTGTGACATTTGATCATGGCGCCGAAGGGTGGTGAGGACCCTGGCATTCCAGGAAACACAGGAAATCAAGACATTTTTCATCCAGACCGCTGTGAGAGAGACACACAGGATACTCCAGGTTAAGAAAAAGGAAAGACTTAGAGTTAGAAGAACTCAGAATGGGTTTCAACAAACAAGGACTCCAACAAGAGTGGAAAGTGAGATAAGAAATATAAAGAGTGGGAGGAAAGTGTGGAAGAGCAACTTGGAGTCACTTTAATGCCATGGTTAGGGGTTTTGTTTTTTTCTATTGCGTAATCAGGTGCTATTGAAGGTTTCTAGGCAAGGAAAACATATTCAAAGCCACAGGTTTGGAATATTACTCTGAAAGCCAGTGTCTGGGTCAGAAAAAGGAGGGACTAAGAGTTCGACAAATCATAAGAGGAACCACATGCCGGGCTTTGCACTCAGCATTTTAATTTATTATTCCGTGTAATCTCTGTAACAACCCTATGAGATAGGTGTATCTGTTTCACAAATGAGGAAGTTGTCTGAGAGAAGTCAAAGAAATTTGCCTGTCTAGTAAAATAAGCAGCAGGATTGGAAATTAGAATTAACTGTCTTACTTTTACCATTATATCAGGCCAGAAAAGAGGGAAGGCTAAGTCTCAAGTTACAATGAGGAGGCTTCTTTTGGAGCCTAGAGAGCATTCCATTCTTTGTGTGTCTGACACCCAGATCTCAGAGAAAGGTACCACTTCATTATTTTCAGAGTGGACATATACCCTCCAGAACTAGGCACATAACATCATCTGAGGAAGGTTCTTGGGGTGGGGGCTGTCCCCAACTCTGCGGCTCTGTGGGAACTACTACACAGGTATGGTACCATTAAGGGCAGTTTTAAGAGAAGTCACCATTTGCTTATCATGTCATAGTCTTATGGCAATTTGCTTCACCCCTCTGGTTCCCTGTCTATATCAGTCAGGAACTCTGGAAGCATTTTCTTCTCTCTTTTCCTGTTGTTCATAAGATCGTGCTCTGCAAATGCTACCCACATTCATGATGGCGAAAGCCTTCTTATTCTTACATGTGTTTCTGTGTGGGAGCATCAGGAAGGAGTGGAAAGATCAAGAGATTTGGTAGTAGGGAGACCTGGATCCCACTTCCCTGAGGCTTAGGTCCCTCATATGCAAATGGAGTGATTCCTGAGTTGTGATGGTTAAAAATGAGGTAGTGCACACCGAGGGTCAAGCATATGACACATTTCAAATAATTGTATATTCTTTTCTGTGTCTCAACCTCACTTCTTTGTCAGTGAATGCTTTAAAGTTCAAGTACTAAATTACTCTTTTAATTTGACTCTCATTTTTTCTTCTTAATGTTTTCTTTCCTTTAGGCAATAAGTGATTTTAAAAAGTGACACTTGTTTGTGTGTGTGTGATTTCAGGGATTGACGGGACCACCTGGACAGCCTGGAGAGCTTGGAGAGCCTGGGTTAAGGGGAGACCCTGTGAGTGGTGGCTCAGGGGTTTCTGCTGCTTTCATCCAGGGACTTGTAAACTGTTTACTTGAGCACAAAGGCAGAGAGCAATTAATTGTTCATTCATGAGGCATAATTCAGCCTATTTTAGTGTTGTAACAAGAGATTTGAGAGAAAACCTATCTTATAGGACATTTGGTTCTTATAGAGTTTGGAATTTTAATTGCATTGCATATTTGGGATTACTGAGTAGGCCTAGACAATTAAAAGGGCCCAATTTGTGCCTTTAAAAAAAAATCCTGCTTCCTGTAATTTCTTTTCTTGTCTTACCTGTCCATCTGAGGTAAGCAATCTTTTATTTTTTCAGGGGGATCCCGGAATTGATAGTTACATCCGAGGCCCTAAGGGAGAAAATGGAAGGCGTGGACATCAGGTAAGATGGTCTCTGTTTGCTTGGGGATACTGGTACTGATGGGAAAAGATGCTAGCTGGTGCAGAAGACTTGGCATCCTGGTTGGATCAGCTAGAAAACCAGAGCAACGCTGTGGGACTCCATTGTTTATGGATACCAGCTCTGAATGCGAACCCCATTTACATTCTTTTCTTTGCATTCTTGTCTCCTAAGTTTATTTTTTTTTCCTGTACAAATCTTATCTCTCACAACACTCATAATACATGTTACTTTACCTCTTTTGTCCTTGGTTTCTTCACATTCAACATGAAAGCATCAGACTCAGTGATCACTAAAATCTTTCCAGTTTTAAAATTCTCCAATTTTATAATGATGTCTTGATTTAAAAGATGCTCAGGGTCATTATGCTGCTGGCTTCCTTTCCATCATTGTCAGTGTTGATTGATGTGAATCGGGTACTAGCCGTTTTTAAAGATAGGATCCCTGTCTAGTTCTAAAGACTAGGAGCGTCGTGACAGAAGACATCGCAGAAGGAAAGAGACTTGTTAAACTTGACAGACGCTAACTTGCTGGAAACCATTTTTAGGTTTTTATGTCCTAGACATTAAAATGCATGACTCTGAAAAATGACTAAAATAACCCAGTGTCTCAGTCCTCACATCTCATCATTCCCAATTTCCAGGAATGAGGTCTGCATACCAACATATTTATAACTGTAGAGGAACCTCTGTTTGCTTTGAACTCCAATTTGCGTCCTCTGACAAAACCTTAGGTTATCATTGTTCCTGGATTGCGGCTTGTTCACATCCATTTATATATGTCCAAGTCCTGAATAAAATCCAGTTTGTAACAAGGTCATTATTATGTAGCTATGTGAAAAAAACTGCCACAATTTGCTGCAAGAATTTCTCATCCTGTTGTTAATGACAGTTATTTTGGACAAACTCCACTGAGAAGGTTCTCTTTGGTGAACTGAGATTAGAGAGCACTGAGAATATCCACTCAATAATAATAACCCACTCAGGGATGGGACTGAGCAAAGTGGACAGATTAGCGAAACTGTTTCAAAGTTTCCATGAGCTAGTAGTTGTCATGGGAAGAAAGGTCATGATCTGTGTATAAATTGGGTTTGGTTCCATGGGTTGCTCATGGCTTAACAGCTGGGAAGGAACTCAGGCATCTAAACAGTCCAGTGCTGTGTCCATCATAGCACCACAGCTATGGGGAGAGCCTCATGCAGCTTTCAGAGGTTTCCATCACTAACTTTAGCTAAGGTTCACCTGGAACATCAGATCCCTGAATTGTGCGTACAAACAAAAATTGTAACCCTCTGAGGCAGTGCTGTGTTGTTTTGCATTTGTGTCCCCCATGGTTTCCTATTTCCAGGACCAGCTTAAAGGGTACGCTAAGAATTTAGAAGACAGCCCTCTAGGGGGCACTCTTTCATTAGTATTAGTTTTGAGTTGACCAGAAGAGCAGATTTGATGTTGCAATTTGGATGGAGATGCCCTGATGAAGCAGTCTTTCAAACCCAAATGAGAAACTTTATTATATACTCAGTGTTGGGGAAAGAATGGAAAACCAGTCATGTTTTCACACTTCTGGGGTGAAAGAAAAACAATACAACCGTTTTTGGAAGGCAATCTTAGGCAACGGATATCCGTTAGGACTGTTGTTTTTTATGTTTTTTAATGTACAAGTGGCAGAAAGTCTGACTGGCAGTGTTTAGCGAATAAGCATGTTTGATAATCCAAGAATAGATGATTCAGCTCAATGATGCCATCAAAACCCAGTGATGTCATCAGGGATTCAGCTACTTTCTTTCCACAGTGCCACCCTCAGCATGGGCCTTGAGCTTGGCAGCCCAACAATTTTACCTTCACCTTTACATAAAATGCCAGAAGGAAAAAGAATTTCCTTTCATCAGGGCATTCCCAGCAATATTCTCTTCATAGCTCATTTAGCTCATTGACTGGGTCCTGTGCTCCCCATCTGCCCTTACCCCATTTTAAGAGCACCAGAGAAAGCAAATCTGTGACACGGGAAATAAGATTGCCATGACTGGCTTAGGCCTGTCAACATTCATTCCTTGGATCTGGGCACGTTGTTGCCCCAAACAAAACTGAGTTTTTCTTAGCAAGGAGGAAGGGGGAGGAGTGTTGTGTAGCTACCAACTGTGTCTGCCACAGCTTAAGATATATATATTCTTTGACCCAGTCTTTCCAGTTCTATAAGTTTATCCAGAAGCTAATCATGGCCCAACACAAAGGTACAGCTCCATGGGTGATCAATGTAGTGATTTTTAATCACTACAATGCTAAAATGTTCAATAATAAGGGATATTTTATATAAACAATGGCAAATCCACACGATAGACTATTATTAAGCCATGAAAAATAATTTAGAAGGCTATTTCATAACAAGGAAACCATTCATGATGTAATATTAAGTGAAAAAACCAGATTATAAAACTCTATATTTAACAAGGGTTCAAATTGATAGACTATATCTACATTTATTCATTGTGGAAGGATAAACACTCAGAAATTATGCATTGCTTTTCCTTAACCTTATTATCTGAATTATTGAAAGATTCTATGTTGAGCCTGTATAACTTTTACCTCAACTTTTTATTTGAAAAAATTTAAATCTACCGAAAAAGTTGGAGTTGCAAGAATAGCACAGTGAACGCTAGTTGTTATCATTTGGCCATATTTACTTCATGTCTCTCTATAGAAATACATAGATAATATATGTATATATTTTGCTGAGCCATTTGAGAATTAATTGAAGCCATCATGACATTTTGCTTTTAAATATTCAACAAGTATCTTTCAAAAACAAGGACATTCTCTATGTAAGTACAATGCAATCATCACACTTAAGGAATTTAATATTGATGCAAAATTATTTCCATTATACAGTCCATATTGAGATTTCCACACTTGCCCCAACAATATCCTTTATGGCTATTTTTATTGTTCTGGGTTCTAATCAAGGATCATGCAACACATTTAATTGTCTTGCCTCTATAGTATCCTTTAATCACAACCAGTGTCCAGTTATTTGTTTGTTTACATGACACTGACATTCCAGACTAGTTATTTTGCTAAACATCCCTCAGTAACAATTTGTCTGATTGTTTTCTCATGACTATATTCAAGTTAAACATCTTTGGAAAGAGATTAAGAAATGCTGTACCCTTCTCAGTTACCAGGAGGGACACTATGTTAGTCTTTTTTTATTACTACTACATTAATTTGGTCAGTTGATTAAGATGGTGTTCACCAAATCTATCTATTGTGAACATACTTTCTTCTTTCTTAATGATTAAGTAATCTGGGCAATGATACTCTGAGACTAAGTTTTTCATTTCCCAATAATCTTTTACCCTGTGGTTTCTGCATCGGCCCAAATAATTCATTTATTATGCTGGATGCAAAAAACTGTTTACTGCTGAAATGATAAACATTTTCAGAAAGAATCTCTATTATATCTAGACCAATTGTGAGAACGCTGTATCTAAAGCTTTCTCCCTCATACAACCTACATTATTTTTTTAAAAATCCCATTATAAAAATCACACTACAGATATTTGGGAATACAGAAAAATAAAATGTTGAGAAAAAAATCAGTAGTTCCAGTAAGCAAGAAAACCATCAGTGTACCGAACTTTCCTAACTTGTTGATGGCAAATTTATTTTCTCTGGAAAAGTCAGATGAGGATCCCATGGGATTATTAAAAAAATATTCTAGTACAATATAAGCAAATGACTGTCTTTCTCCATATTTGGGATGAATTAGTCTTACACAGATTTTAGCATACTCGTAAAGAACATTATAGCACATTTTTTTCTACTTCATAAACTTTTGATAAACATAATTTTTAATTGTTGCATACTATTTCAATAAACATTTCTACCGTAATTAACACTTCCCTCAGGTTATGGGATGTATAAATTTTTCAGAATTTAATCTGTTATAGATAACAGTTGTAAGAACACTTTATACAAAACATTTGTTTCTGCATTTCACATTTTTTCCAAATTTCTGTATTTTTATTGAGTTTGGCATGTGACTTCACTGGATAATACTCTAAGATATCTCTACTTGGGATCAGATGGTATTCATTTCTCCCGAAAGATGGACTCATTCTTTCTCTGAACACCACTCATTTTCCCATTTCTGACCTGAAAAAAGTTGAGAGCACTAGAGAGTTTCCTCTTTATGACTGTGTATAACTTCTCCCTCTGTCATCGTCTGTACATGTTGATCACTCCACATGTGCAGAGACATGCTGTTATACCTTCTGTTTCTGTCTGCCACTGTGTAGCCTATAGGATGCAGGTAGAAAAGGAAGTGCCGTTTTTCAAACAGGAAGCATGGCTTGTTGGAGAATATGTATGACAACAGTGCCAGCGTGGTAAACCCTGAGTTGTCAAACAAACGATCTTTGGGGAAAGGTGCCTACAGCATGGATTGATTATTTATTTATTTAATCTATACAATTAAATGTTATTATTCTTTGGCTTATTTATTTATTTTATTTTTCAATTATAGTTGACATTCAATATTATTTTATATTAGTTTCAGGCATACACCATAGTGGTTAGACATTTATATAATTTATGAAGTGATTCCCCCCAATAAGACTTATACCCATTTGGCACCAACCATAGTTATTACTATATTACTGACTATATTCCCTATGCTGTGCTTTACATCCCTGTGACTATTTTGTAACTACCAATTTGTACTTAATCCCTTCACCTTTTTCACCCAGCTCCCCAACCTTATTCCCATCTGGCAACCATCAGTTTGTTCTCTGTATCTGTGAGTCTCTTTCTGTTTTGTTTGTTCATTTATTTTGTTACTTAGATTCTACATATAAGTGAAATCATACAGTATTTGTCTTTCTCAGTCTGACTTGTTTCTCATAGCATAGTACCCCCTAGGCCCATCCATGTAGGAACAAACAGTAATATTTCATTCATTTTTATGGCTGAGTAATATTATTAATACATTGTATACACTCGTATGTACCACATCTTCTTTATCTAATCATCAACATGGATATTTTCTTTGATTTTTTTTCATAATGGACAGTCATACAAATTTTAATATAGTCATATCTTACACATTTGGTAAAAATAACTTGTTCTAACTTATGAAAGAAAAATTTAATTAGGCATTAAAATACTAATCTCTGTGAACATAGTCAGACAAATATGTGAAAATTATTTTAGAGCTTGTTTTTCATAGATGTCCACTTACTGGTACAAGACTAAAACCTGCATTAGCTGAGCGGCTACAAGCTTCTCCATAAATTGGTGTCCAGTAATAGTGCTTTTTAAGGCCATGGGAGACTTCTGCAAGATGCACACGTCCATCCACCACAAATGGCTCCACATCTGTATTGTCTGGTTTTACACAGCCCATTTGAATTAAGTCTGAATATGCTACACGGGTAGCCTCCTCAAATTTGTTTCCCCAAATGTAGATATTAGAGAGGGTGGGATTTGCTTTCATTGATTTTGAAAGTGCAACAAGCCCTTCCCCTTCTGTGTTGTTGTTGACTGTTGACAATGCTTGAAAACTCCTGTTGTGTGAAGTGTTTCACTGAGATACTTTGCTCCTGCCTTTTCTATTCAGCTGACATCAAGGTAGTGCAGGTCTTTGTTCAGATACAGTGCATCGCATCACTGTTTTATAACACTGTTTCTTATGCCGTGCTTATACACGTGTAGTTCAACAAGGCAGTGATTTTCTTTAACATGCAGTTGAGATGAACTGTGAATTCTTCCTGTTCATGGTACAATATAGGTCGGTTTAGGTTTATTCCTTTAATTGTTTGTTTTTGAGTTAGGACTGTAGCAAATGCTATCACACTTTGCATTCCCAGATCTCAGTCACCCAGATCTAACTTCTCTAAGGATGAATTAATTTGTAGCATGGCAGCAAAAAACATTCCACCTTTATTTTCAACCTTGTTTCCAGTCATTCTTAGGTATTTCAGAGTTGTATTCTTATATAGTGCTTTAGCAATCAGTTCTCCACCTTCAGGCCCACTATCATTAAACATAAGGTTTAAGTAAATGAGATTGCATTATTTCTGAAGCAGTTTTGCTGCATAGTAATGTGCCAACATCACTGAGGAGGTTATATCTAACATCCAAACCATTAATATATGAATTCTTCTCTGAAATTTTGGAAAGAACCCAAAAATCTTTACTTGTTACTCTTTCCACTGGTATTCAGTGATTGTTACCAGCAATGATTAATGTGATTCATTCCAATCCCATTTCAATTTCTTCATCCACTCCTTGGAGTATATGCACTACAAAAGGATTAATTTTCTGGGATATTTCCATACCTAGATTATTATATTGTTCCTGGAGACTGCCAATAGGTTCTGAGGCTTCCTTCATTACAATCTATCATGCAAAGGGAGGGGAACCCCCCTCGGGGACTTGGGACTCTCTTGCTGCCTGCTTTTGGGGGATATCCCAAAGTCCCGGGCACAGCTGGGGTTCCCGGGATATCCTATCGATGTGTCGCCTTGGGCCCCCAGCCTGCTCGGCGAAATCAGCTGGCGCGACCCCACAGCTAGGGCTCTGGTGCCCCTTACGTTTTTCTTCCCGGCCAGGCTGGTGCTGGAGGACACCCTATTTCTTACAGCTGTGATCCGCTGGAGTAGGGCTCAGAGTCAACATGGATATTTTAAAACACCTGAATTAAATCCATTTGCTTCTAGAGGAGTGCTGACCAATAGAACTTTCTGAGATCATGGCAATAGTCTATATCTGTGCTGTGTAATATGGTAGCCACTAGCCATATGGAGTTACTGAACATTTGAAATGTGCCTAGTACAGCTGAGGAATGACATTTAAAATTAAATTTTAATTTTAATGAATTTAAAGAATAGCCACATGTGGCTAGTGGCTTCTATAGTGGACAGCCCATGTCTAGAGAATAAATCTAAAAGTATTATAGACATCTAAACTGATCTTCCCTTTACCTCTTGCTTTTCAGGGATATTCTGGTTTTGATGGACCTCATGGAGAAACCGGAAATGTTGGCCCTCAGGTAAGTATAACTGCTCATGGGAATGTACTTCACCTGCTTTTGTGGAAGAGAGAGGTATGCTGGGGTGAAAATTGGCTGTTCCCTTCCCTCAGGTCTCCGTTTCCCTTTTATTCTTAGGGATCAAGAGGAAGACGAGGTCTACCAGGATTGCAGGTCAGTGCCTTCTGGAAAGGGTTTCTTCTTGTTCCACATATATGGCGCTTGAAATAGTTCTCTCTGAGAGGTCAAGGATTGCGTGAGGATCACTGGGAAGTTTCCTTAACATTTTCAATGAAGAAGGGAAAGTTTATATGGTTCTTCTCTGCTCCCTCTCCAACCTGCTAATTTAGATTGAAAAGAAGAAAAGAAGCTAATATCTAAGAAAATGGCTTTTACTTTCAGAATAATATTTTTTTCCACTTAAAGGAGTAGAACTTCCTATGAGTGCATAAAGGAATCTCATAGTCACTAAATGAAGGGAAAAGATTGAGCTTTTACTCTTTCCAAAGGGGGAATTACGTGATTTGAGGGTATAGCTCTGTGGGGGAAACGGTATTTTACTAAGCATTTATCTAGCACCAGTCACTGTGTTAGACCTTTATTTATATTCCCTCATGTAAACTTTTCTACAGCCCTTGGATCTCTGAGCATCATTGATTACTTTTTATGAATAACAGGAAATACAGGTTTAGCAAAGTGAAGTTACTTGTCAGAGGTAACATAGCTAGTAATTGGTGGAGACAGGAAAAATCCAAGAAGTTTTTGCACAAGAGTTAAGTTTACTGTATAGACATCTCTAACATAGTGTGGTCATGCTTTGCTGCATTATATTTTCTAGTATTCTCATGATTTAAGGATGGAGAAGTCAGAGATTGACTAATGTCATCTCTGAACCTGGGAATGGGTGTGTGTGTGTGTGTGTGTGTGTGTGTGTGTGTGTGTTAGGACCTAGGTATAAAAGATTAGATTCATATGTCTTCAAACCAAACATGTTGGAAAAGCATGAATATTGAGAAATCCCAAGTCTCAACATTCAAAAAAGTTTTGTTGACACCAAATAAAATATTATTGTTCATGCAACATTAGGATTAAAAATAAACCCTTAGATAATATTTTGTGCTAGTAATTGAATCTTAACATTTGTGAAATAAATAATGTCTTGAAATATCATTTTATCCCGTTGTTTTTAATCCCCTAAAAGGCAGAAAGAAATAGACTGCAATCAACAAGGCTAAGTTTTGGAGAAATTAAGTGGCTCTAGGCAGTGGAATGAGTTGCCTACTCTTAAATTATTTAATTCTTTTGTGATGCGATGTGTAATTTATCTAAATATCCATTAATGGTGGGTCTGCTGCTCAGCTGGGTCTTGGTTATTTTTGATTCCCTAGGTCACTCTATCTCCTATGTCTTTCTTTTTTATTTAATTCAAATCAGAGCCAAGCCTGTGCAATTGCTCTCTCAGGCTTATAATGAAAAATATTTCCCTGCCCATTTTTCCTCCCTGTTCCTGATTCCCAGATCTTCAGGAGCACACACTTTCATCTCTTTGGGCTGTTCTTCCTGGTATCGTTTCCATTTTTCTAAACAACATGTTTATTTTGCTCTTTCCTGGTTTTCAGTTTTGGATGTTTATCTATTTCTTTCTTTCTTTTCTTTTTTTTCTTTTTCCTCTGTTGATTGTAATTTGGACCTGAGTCACCTGGTATGTTTCTGAATCAGAATAGGTTTCCCTCTGGGCTCTTATTATGTGTTTATTTGTGGAATATTCTATCTTATTTTCTTAGCTAGACCCTGACCAAGAATTCTTTAACCCCTTAAAATTTTTTATACTCAAGAGTAAAGAAATTTTGTTTTTCTGACTCCCTTTCTCTTGTTTTCTGTATTTTAACTTAAATACATTTACTGTTATGATACATTTATTGTACAGTAAATACATTGGGTTTGCAGTATGGTCAAGGTTCAGTTCCTAACCTGGATTCTTGTTCAGGATGTACTTACAGCTAAAATATATTGTGAATTTGTAATTCCTTGTTGATGGAGTCTTCTGAAGGATTTTTCCTCCACTTTTATTTGGTAAACTTTGCTTGATTCAAGATGAGCTCTAAAAGGCAATTTTCTTGAATTTTAGCAGTTGAGTAGAAAGAACTATTCCAGTTTCTCTGATAGTTAAGTATTAGCTTTCCTTCCTTTCTTCCTTTCTT